ACTCCCCCGCCATGGACGCCGCCCCCAGCCGCTCCCTCGCTCAGCCTCCCGCCAGTCCTCCAGCCGGCCAGCAGCCCCGCGGCCAGACCTCCAACCCCGTGCCCCTCCTCAACCTGCCCACCTCCAGGCCCCCGATGCTCTCCGGTCCGCAGAGACCCCTGCTGCGAGGACGGACCCCCTCCCAGCAGCAAGACCACCCCATGGGCGGGTTTCGTGGGGGGAAGCGGGCCGGGCCTCCGTTCGCAGGCGGTCCCTTCCACGCTCAGAAGAGGCCTTTCCTCCCACCGCGCTACTGAAGTGGCGGCTGACAAGCTGAATGAGCAGCCGTCCAGCAGAGCCGTGTGCTAGCCCTGCTGGTATGAGCCCAGATATCTGTTCGTTAGCTTCAAGTAAAACTACCGTAGCTTGTGTGTAAATAGCTGATTAAACCTTCACGCCGAGCAAGGCAGCGACCATCTGTACAGCTGAGAGGTGATGGGTTACGTAGTGCAGAGGCTCCATTTCTCCACCACGACGTTCATGAGGATGAAGGTTTCATTGCGTCTGGTTCAAGAGTGACAAAACCTAGAGGGTAGTTCTAGTAGAAATTAAAGCAATGCTGCATTTAGAGTTTCCTACATGTGTGATTCTTGGGACGTTTCACCTGAGAGTGAGAGAAACTAAACGCAGTCATTCAGCATTTTGGGAAATGTGTCGATGAGCTTTCTGGATGAGGTTTACATGCAAACATTGATCCGGCTCTCCTGTCCGCCTGCTACACCAGGGTGATCAGAAAGTTCACAGACTGCACCTTCAAACGTTGAAAACGGGATTTGAATTTGGCCACCGTCCCTGTTCAGTTAGTGTCCTGGTGCAGTGATCCTCTGCTCCCAGTGCTCCTGCAGCGCTCCCTGTTCTGTAAACATGCTGAGCTCATGAAGGTGAGCAGACAGTTCAGACACTGCAGGTACAAAACCTGGTCAAAGTCTGCCACCATCCACGTCAAAGTACTTTTCTTGTGCAGCGTTGCTCTGCTCCCAGTGCTCCTGCAACGCTCCCTGGAAGTCCTTTTCTGTGAACATGCCCAGCTCCGTCACACAATGTTCAAACAAACAGGAATCTTGACGATTGTTGTGGTAAGAAAACCTGTTATAGAACTGGAGCACCGTGGCCCGGTTCAGGCGCTGCAGTAAAACAGTCCGACTCTGGGAGTGAGTTCACGGTGCACCACCACATGAGCATTAAAGAGAACTGTTGGTGTGCTCCACACCCTCTCGGTGCTCCTGGTGCCCCTGGTGCCCCTGGTGCTCCTGGTGCTCCTGGTGCCCCTGGTGCCCCTGGTGCTCCTGGTGCCCCTGGTGCCCCTGGTGCTCCTGGTGCCCCTGGTGTTCTTGGTGCCCCTGGTGTTCTTGGTGCCCATGGTGCTCCTGGTGCCCCTGGTGTTCTTGGTGCCCCTGGTGCCCCTGGTGCTCCTGGTGTTCCTGGTGCCCCTGGTGCTCCTGGTGCTCCCCGTGCTTCTGACCGTCTGGTCTTTAAACTGCAGGCTGTTGCTTCTCCTCGTGGTAGCTACAGACCCTCCTCCAGTCGCCGATACGTACCCAAACGTTGATAACGCGATGTCACTTCTCCCAACAGATCACATTTCCTGCTGCACACCTGCAGCCGTGACCCACTCCACAAACTACCAGCAGTCCCAGAACTTTTTGATCGCTCTGCAAATCCAAAGCCTGAGTTTGCATAAAGAGCTGAAACCTGTGGACAGCCTGCCTCTGTCAGCACTTAAACCTCATGAGTTTTTTCCAACACAGTCGACTTCTTAGAACCACCAGAAGTCTTGTTTCTTTTGAACAGAACCAGGCTAGCTGTTGGCCCGTTTCCAGTCTTTATGCTAAGCTAAAGTTGGGCTCACACTGCAGGGGTTTTCGGTTTTACCCCCCAACAGTTGGAGGAAGCCTCTGATCTGAACCAATGTCCAGTATGTGGGGATATGAAGGGGTCCCAGATCCAGGTTTAAGCTTCCTGAACTGCCTGCAGACTACCACTGAACACAGATGTGTCCTCGAGGCCAACGTTAGCTACTGATGTTAGACCTGATGGCTCAGTTCAGACCATCGTGGCCTCACCTCCCACTACTTTCTCATCTAGACCTGCTTCTGCTCTTGTGTGTTGACGGCAGCTCGTTGCTCAGTTTGCTTCTGTCTACATAACAACCTGTTGGCATGTCTGAGGCTAGCGAGAAGGACATCTGAAGTTCATATTCCAGCACCTTTCCTGGGTTTAGAGCTCCTGTAGCGTGAGTCCAACGTCGCTCCTCTGCTTCATATTGAACAGATAAAAAGCCTCGACAGGAACAATCTGATTTCCCAAAATGTCAAAGCGGTCTTTAGAACGTGTGCTTGAAGTGATGAGAGTAGGTTCTGGGGGTGATCTCTTCTTCCTGGAGTGTGTGGGTGTGTGCTGTGCATCCTAAAGTGGTGTGTTCTCATTGACAGTGATTATGTTCCAGCTGAGGTTAACACTTGTTCTTATTTCCACAGTACCTGCTGTAAATAATCATTCTTCTCCTGATTTTCACAACCTCTTTTTTCACCCGTCTGTCCCTCCCTCTGTATATTTCCCAGCTTGTAAATATAAAGACTGACTGAGTTGATGCAGCTTTTTTCTCTTCAAGCTCTTGTTTGTGTAAACGAGGACTCTGATTGGTCGCTCGCCCGTCGTTACTGTGATTGAGGCCTTGGATAAGCTTTAGCCCTGAAGGATTTCCTATCGCACCTTTCTGTGCTTCTGAAAGCCACCACGCAGAAGAGGAGGGTGAAGAGAAGCCTGTGTTTTTTGTTTTGCGACCTAAATGTGTGCCTGAGCGCGTTAGACTGAGCGGCGGGCGGACGGGTGGGCAGGAGGGAGGCGTCGGGCTGAACCACTCTTGCTAGGCTTCACCATGTACTGACTTGAATAAAATCCAGAGTTTCAATTCAACCGGGGGGGGGAGGTATTTTATTTATCACTTGAATTGCGCTGTTTTAATTTATTTCCAAGGAACTGTTCTCATATTTCTACACAGCTTTCACTTTGCATTAACATTGATTTGTTGCGCTGTGTTGTTTTTGTTTTTTTGTTGTTTTTTTAATAGATCAATTTGGTAGTTTTACATCTACAGGGGGCGGAAACATTGGAGCTAATTAGGGTTGTTTTTAAACGGGTTTATTTAAATGCTGCACTTGTTTTGGCCCCTTTCTCTTGATGGCTAACTTCTGCCTTCAACACGACGGCTGGGCATCGTGGCGGCGGTCTGTCCACGATGCCGCCTCTCTAACAGCCAGACCGAGCGTCTCCTCTGCTCATTTAGATCTAATTACAGTTCATCAAGACGCTGCAAAACCTTCCAGCGTAAAAGTTGAACAAGTGTCACGACAGAGCATGTTTGTCACACGGATGTTTCACTGAATGTCTGTAACCTGTCCGGTCGGCACCAGCTGCACCGTGAGGGAGGCTAGATCTATTCCCAGTCTAACAGCTTCACTGTGCTTGTAAATAACCTCTTCCTGCTTGGTGTGACACATTGAACTGACTGAAGATGGTGTGTGTAAATGTGAAACTGCTGTTACTGCTGTTCTCATCAACGATGCTGCTTCACTGCTCTGAGTGTCCAGTCCTTTCCTGTGTGATCAACATGCACACATAGACGCAGACCGAACCCTCTGGACTCCAAGCTGCAGCTTTTTTTCGCTCACTGTGGCTCGTTTTGACTCCGATATGAAGTCCTGCAGCTCTGTGGAAACAACAGGATAGGAGACGACTCAGAGGCGTCTTTGAGCTCATGACGCCGTCAGACTGAGTTAGATTGTTTTATTTATTGTCCAAAAATGGGGAAAAAACACCTGGAAGTGACGCACACAGCAGTCTGCAGTCACAGGTGTTCAATAATGACCATCAGAGGTCCACGCGCTGCAGGTCTTTTACTTTTGTTTTCTCGTATTTGCTTTGTATGAACGCCGCCTGCAGTTCACCTGAAACTGAGCTGTTGGTCAGAGCCCAGGCCTCCACGTCCTCCAGCAGCACCTTCTGTTTCTCCTTAGGTTCATTTTGGCCATTTTTTTTGTTTAAAATCTGAAGATTAATTTTGTTTTTACGGTTTCTGGTTGAAAAATTGACATTTTGGCGTTTTTTTGTTTTGGTTTTTTGAACGTAACTTCAAATTTTCTGGCCAGTTTTGGAGTTCAGAGGATTACAGGATGAAAATACATCTGATATTATTGTTAAGAGTCACAGCAGTATGGGAGACAACATCTTAGAGCTCCTTCTTCACTCATTCATCTGGTCAATAACCTTATGTTCTGGTGGTTCTACTCGACTGTAATCAGTCTGGAGCTAAAGGACGAGTCCAGTTCACGGTTTCCCATTTCTTTTGTCCTCAGACTTTTCTTTGAGAAGATCTGATTTTTTTTATTTTGTGTTCTTGGTTTGATTTTCTCCTGCTCAACACTTCACAGCTCTGTTTCTGTACCGACACACTTTAAACACACACGAGGTCCGATTGGTCTCAGCTTCACCTCATCACACATTAACAGAAACCACATTCAGTTATGCTGCCGGTTCATCTTCAGTTTACTGTCACAGAGGAAAAACCAGAAGATATTCACACTGAAGAAGCTGAAACCACAGAACTTTGCAGAACCAAAGTAGTTGAGGAGCTTGTCTTAATATATTGTATACATATGACCCTGTTTTCATTAAACAACTGGAAAATGAGTCCTTAGTGGTAAATGTCCAGCAGCTCTGCTGTTCAGGCCGACGAGCCGGGAAGCGTTCACCGCTTTCCTCAGGAAACTAATCGAGTGTTTTTCAATCTCCGTTAATCTGCCAAATGTTTTCTGGATATTTTGGTTTCTGAAATGTCAGAAAATAGTGAAAACTATCGATCAGAGTTTCTCAAAACCCAAACTGAAGCGTTTTCTCACAGTTTAGAGTTTTAGCTTCAAGAAGCAACAAACGGACGCTGACGACAAACCAAAGTTTAACCGCTAAGATTTAAATGGTTCACGTAGGAGAAGCCGCAGGAAATAAAAAAAAGTAAAATAATCTGGTGGTAATTTTATACGAGAGGGGTGACATGATGGTGACATGATCAGTTAGTTGAAAAACAGTTTATTGATTTGTGGTTAAAGCTGCAGCTGACTGTTGATTCATCGTTTATTTTGTGGAAGAATCAGATGTTTGGTCTCTAAAACGTTTAATTAAACGAGGATCAGAGGTTCCTCAGACGTCTGGTTCAGTCCAGAGACGCTCAGTTTGCTGTTGGAGGAAGGAAACCAGAAAACATTCAGTGAAGGAGCTCAAACCAGAGTTTTACTTCTTCATCCTCAAAGTTTTACTCAAACTGACTAATTGATTATTAAAACTGATTAATTTGATGTTACAGCTTGATTATAAAGAACTAGTTTTACTGAACTCTACTGGATGTAAACTTCTCCTGATTTTGCTGTAACACACATACAGTCTGTTCATTTTTTAATCTAAGTTTGTCTTGTTTACATAGTTAAACAACAAAAACACAGAATATTCAGTTTATTGTCTGTTCACAGGACACTAACTGAACCCGTCAGTAACTGATGACTGAAGTAGTTTTAATGCCAACATGTCCCAGATCCCACAACATACATGTTAACCAGTCATTTATAGTAAATCCACTGATTTGAGGCGTTTAGTCTGTAAAATGGTGAAAAACACAGAAAATACTCTCATTTAAGAAGCTGCAGTTTCAGAGTTTAGACACATATTTTCTCTACAAACTGCTGAATCAGTTCTTAAACTAGTCGACGGTTTATTTAATAGTTGAATCGCTGCAGCTCAGAGACCAGATATTAAACTCTGGTTTCACCCGAACCCAGGTTCTGTTGGGCCTGTTGATGAAATAAAAGCAGGCTGAAGCAGCTTGAATCAGGTTTCATGGTTTTGTCTCTGCAGCGTAGATGGGCAGCGGTTCGCTCTCTGTGCTGTAGCGCCTCCAAGTGACAGCTCAGGTGAACTGCACACCAGCTCCTGCATGTGACCTCTGCTGCTTCACCTTCACATGAATCAAACTCAAACCACTTCTGGTAGTTGATTAGTGGATTAAGTCATGTCTCAGGACTCGTACGCACACTTAGAGGCTCTAAAATCTGCATCTAGATGAAGAGCGAGATATAAATCATGTTCACTTGTTTTCTCTCTTTACTGGTTTGTTTTAAAGCCAGTCAGTATTTAATCTGTGAAGTGTCTTCGACGTGCAGCCGGACGGTTTTTGTAGACTCACTAAATCCCATCTGTTTATAGTCAGAAGGTAAAAACCGTCTCCTGGATCAGAAGCTTTTATGACGTCTCCTTCAGATGATCAACTGTCTGGAGGCTTCATGAAGTCTGTTTACACTCCGATTCACATCACTAGATGTTCATGACACAGCACAGAACCAGCACTGTTCCACATCATTACTGACCAGCTTCAATTTAGTCTTTTCTGGTTTTGCTTCTTCAGACAATTCTGAGAGTTTTGTGTCACCAGGAACCGTTGAGCTCCTCCAGGAGAACCTTCATCCTGGACACTGGTTGATTGAATGTGGTCAGCTGCAGCTTTGAGCTCATTCTGGACGCGTTCCAGCACATGTTGGACTCTGCGTCCTTCAGTTTGTGGTCATCAGACAGGTTGATCTCATCCTGGACCACTCTGAAGACGTTTTGTTCCATGTCATTTAGGACCGTTTTTAACCGTTTTGACCAGCTTTAAACACATTTTGGACAATTCTGAGTCCCTTTTCACTTCTTTTAAATCATTGTTGATCAGTTTATGCTCCGTGGTTCCGACTGACGTCACAGCTGGACCTTGAAATACACCACGGACCCATATCTTATATCTTTATTGTGCCTGCGGCCTCTCCGCTGTGACTTTCTGCCTGTTTCTGTTGAACCCACGCTGTTTGCTTGAATCCCGTTTCTCTGCCTGGCCTCACTGCGCATGTCCTGTGCTTGTTGCCTGGACACGCGCTGCTCTTCCTCCCTTGTGTCGGAGGCGCGCTCTGGCGCAGACGCAGCCTGGAGCGCGCACGTCGCCGCTCCGGAGCTGCGTCACGACCCTTTTTTTTTTTTTCCTTCTCCCTCTGACGTCACCGCCGTGAGTTTCCGGTGTTATGGCGGCGCGCGGAGCAGGGGGCAGATGTGTGGGGCATTTGGAGGCGAGCGCGTGTGTTTAGGCAGGTGTGATGGCGGTGACGCAGCTCGTCCGGCGGCTTACCTGCCGGCCGACGGTCCGCGAGCTCCGGAGATACAGCAAGGTGCGCAGGCGTGTTGTGACACCCGGAACTGTCAGTGATGCTAACGTTAGCCGCTAGCACAGAGTGTGTGTGTGTGTGTGTGTGTGTGTGTGTGTGTGTGTGTGAGAGAGATATGCAGCTGATGTTTTTCACGTTCAGCTGTTTCTTCTTGAACTAATTTTGTTTTAGACAAACTGCAGTTTGCTTTGTGATGTTTCACAGAATGATTGTTTCTAGAGGTTGGGTTTGATCCTGAAGCTTCTTCTGGCTGGAAACAACATAAACTCAGTCAGACCTGATGTCAGAGATGTTCTGGATGGTTCTGTCCAGACCGATGGGTCGTCTTCACTC